TTTTTGTTTTTGTTTTTTTGTGTTTTTGGGGAGTTTATTTTTTTTTTTTTTTTCTCTCTCTCTTTTTCTTCACTCTCTCCCTCATCGCTCTGGTGGCAATCGCACCGCACCCGCGCAGGTTTGTGTACAACATGTGGAGTGAGAAGGGGAAGCGGGACTCGTGTCGTCACCATAAATTACATGATGAAATCAATAAAACATCAATACCTCCACCCTTCAACCACCGCCATGTTTCATTGCTGCATCGCCTCTCAGTTGCCGCATTTCCTCAAGGAAATATGCGCCTGGATGAGGCCGTCTCCCCGCAGGGAGGGATGGAGGAAGGGGGCAGGGCGGGTTGAATGCACCGAACGTCCCCCCTCGCTGTAGGGGGGGAGGGCTCCACACACACACACCTGCGCCCATGCAGCAGCCAACACGTCCGGAGGGACCTCGTGGGATGCCCGGGGATCGTCGTGAGCCCGCGGAGTGGCGTCCATGACGTTGAGGGCCCGCAACCGCCGGAGTCCCCGCCGCGTGAAGGGCTGCAGGGAGGGGGGAAGGGGGACGACAGGGAGAAGAGAAAAAAAAAAAGAAACTGCCACCCGCCACCCTCCAACAAATCCTCGTAAAAAAAAAAAAAAAGAGTTAAGCCTTCAACCATAAAAAAAAAAAACACTACCATCCACCCAGACCCCGCCCGGTCGTACATTCTTTCCGCCCACACACACACACACTTCTATTCCTCTTTCACTTTTTTTTTTTTTTTTCGTTGTATCGGCAAAAGACACATGTGCTTTCGCTCCGTAAATAAATAAAAATATATAAATATCAGTAAAAGGAGTGAAGGCACCTCAAGTCCCGCTGCCTGCGTGCCTGCACAAACAAAGATGAGGGTGGAAGAAGTACGTGGATGTGTCCGAAGTTCTTCACATTAAATTCGATCAAAAAAGAAAGAAAAAAATTTTGGCAAAATGCATACAAAAATACACAACAACAACAGCAACAAAAAGAGAAAAAAAAAAGAAATGGAACATGACAAACACAAGCAAAAAAAAAAAAAAAAAAAGACGTAACGTAAACCAATGAATAACAAAATAAGAGGGATGAAGGGAACATAAAGACACTAAAAAACGGCCATATATATTTATATTTATATATATATATATTTTTTTTTATATTTTCAATTATTTATAATAATAATAATAATAATAATAAAGAAGGTTTCATACAAAAATACACCGTAGAGTGCCTCATGAGCACACATAACCGTGGGCAACATGCGTGTGTGTATGTCATGTGTAAATCCCATCAAAAGGCGCCACGAGGGGGAGAAAAGGGGAAAAGGGGAAAGAGGGGTCATCGATGCAGCTCGCCTCCTAATTACAGGCTTAGCAGGAGCTGACAAAATAATAAATTAAACATACAACCACACACAACCACACAAATAAAAATAAAATAAAAAATGAAAAGGGCAAATTTGGCAATACATATCAAAAATAAAAATAAAAATAGAAGAAGAAAAAAAAAAAAAAAGAAATATATATAAATAACACCTTTGCGTGATTCATTCATTTATTGCAAAAGACGTTCCTTGAGCCCATTGTAATCCCCTTGCGTCCTCCTTTTCTTTTTCTTTTTTTTTCCTTTTTTATTCTTTGTTGTTTTGACTTGCTTGTGGGATAAAAAGGGCAGGAAACAAAAAGGGAAAAGTTCATTTTGTTTTCACACATTCCTTGCGTCTTTTCCTTTTCCCTCGGACTCCCAATAATACATATATATATATATATATAACACCAATACGCATGTACAGATGATGTGTTATACATACATTCTTGTATAAATGCCATCATGTGTGATTGTGTGTGTTTTTAGCTTCATGTTTTTTGTTTTTGTTGTTGTGCGGCCCACCGTACGTTCCTTTTTACATCGCCTCCTCTTTTTTCAGCAGCCAATTCCCTTTCTCACCTATGCACCGTCCGTCAGTTTTTTTTTTTTTATTTTTAAAATTTATTTATTTATTTATTTATTTATTTATTTCATTTTATTCTCTGTTTTCTTCTTTTTTTTCCCCCCCTATCTCGGGTGTCGGCACCACCACCACACACAAACAGAAAAAAACACATCCGCATCCCTCTTTCTCTCTCCTTCACTACTTCGTCTCCTCCGTGTGTTGCTGAAAAAGTGGATCAACAATGCGCCGAATCACCCGACGCTCAAAGCCATTGGCGCCAATTGACCGCAGCCGAAGTCCGCCGGTCTCCGGATGGCGCAATAACCCCATCACATCGGCCTCAAAGGCATCCGCAGAGAATTCCCCCAGCCACACCAAATTGCTCTGTGCATTCGTCAACCAGTAGTCCGGCACAAATGGCGAAAGGGTAAATATAAACGGCAGGAACACCGTCTCCAACACCGCCGTCTGCAGCACCTTCGCGTGGTGCAGTGGAGAAAAGCCCGATGCTTCCCCGATATGACCCACCGAGGGCGTAAGGGAAGGATTGCTGGGGGTGAGGCCGTCCGTCAAATCTGAGTACATGGACGGCACTTTTTCGGGTTCACGGCATTCGCCCATGCCATAGAAAGATCCCTCGCAAGAAAAGAAACCTCCAAGTATGTTATTGTTTGACTCCTTGGCCCGTTTTTCCCCTGCAGTGGCGGCGTGAGGTCCGTTCCAGGGCCACTGTCGCAGTCCCCTTTCCGTGAGCCAAATGCGTGTCTGGTTCTGTTGATACACCTCAGCCACGGCACATGCGGCGGCAATTCGGTACACGGATGAAAGACGAAAAACATAACAAAAGTCCGCGGCATGAAGAACATTCTGAAGGATGATCATCAGGTGGCTTTCACGCACGACATTCCCCGCACCTTCCCGCAGTATTTGTTGAAGCTGATTGAGCAGCACTTGGTGACGACGTTCATCCGTGGAAATGATAAGTTGCGCTGTCATTTCATATAATTCAACCCCTTTTTCATGTGTCCACACCGACGGCGTTGAATCGTGATCGCTCTCCTGTGAAGAGGCAACGGTTGGAAAGCAGCACTCCGGCGTGTCTAGCAATGTCAACCCCAATGCAAGGCTAACGCTCTGCTGTGGAGAAAAAAATCCGTACAATGCAGCATACGGGTGGTGTATTTTAATCAAAAATGCGTTTGTCATCCCCACATGACCCAGCTTCATCACAGTGGAGGCAAAAAGAAAACTGAAAAGCTCCTCATCACTGAAGTTCTCCGCCACGTGCGGCTCCGACAAAAACTGATTGGCCGCTAAAACAATATCCGATGCATGGTATGCATTATGAAATGGATTCCCCGGAAAAATGTAATTGACGGCGGTGTTGTAGAAGCAGTACAGCCGCCGCACATTAAAGCCAAACCGCACAGAAAAGTTGTAGCGGAGCAGCACATTCAGACATGTGTACACGTAGGCTTTGGGGCCATAACATTGCCGATAATGCAATATGTCCACATTGGAGGAGTTCACATCCCCTAGAAATGGAACCCCGACGCTGCGGAGTGCCTCCTGGACCTGATCAATCGGGCGAAAAACAGGTGAATGACGCGAAGAAGAACGGGAAAAAATTGGTCCCTGACTTGTTAATCGCCCATCAAGAGAGAACGCTGGCATGCCTTCACCAAAGTCACCGTTGCTTCCAATGTCAAGGATTGAGACGCCATTCCGAAGGGGTGGTGCTCCAGTGCGATGACTCACAGTCGATGCGCCATGGATGCTGTCTGGGAGTATTGAATACGACTGGTTTTCGCTGCCGTGACTGTCGCCACATCCGAGCGGGTTGGTTTCGCTCCCGCGGTACGGTTTGCCGCGGCCCAGTGGTTTCGCAATACCACGGTGAAAAATGCTTGGTGCCCACACAGATGACAGTTGAAGAACGGAAAGTGCTTCCTTTTCGGTTTTGACGTCCTCACCAGGACCGGTACTTCTTGGTGACAGCAAAAGCCTATTCATTTCATGCTGCAATAAGTTTTGTGTATTGGTTTCGGCAGCGTTTGCTGCTCTTGGGGAAGCTCGATTTAATTTCCCAATGCTCGCTGGTGTGTTCACACGGAATGATTCCGTCGTTGAAGAAAAGGTGGTGCATGGATTCCCTTGCGTCTCCGGGGCCCAGTAAACCCCGTGTTCAATGTATTCGTCACCGCACTCTGTTAGCGTTTCCTGAGACGTCGGGGTGAGGACGGACTCACCAACTGCATCCACAAGCGGTCGCAGCGATTGCGGCTCCAACAGTGAGGCCTCCAAAGCCTGATATTGTTCATTCATCCAATTATTAAACTCATCCAGGCTTGTCGACTCCGCAAGACGCTTCCTTAGCTGGGCAATGAATAAAGCCATGAGTCGCTCATTGGGCCTGGCATCCGCAATGCGCTTCACTGGGACATGCGCTGCAGGTGCCTTCATTGTACACAAGATAAGAAGAAAAAAAAAAAAACACTGGCCCCCTTTTTTACTAACCCCTTCTTTTTTGCTTGGCTGTTTGTGTGTTCGCTGTTGCCTTCGTACACCACCCCCTCCTTTTGTTGTTGTTGTTATTATTATTATTATTATTCTGCGTGCTTGTGTGTTGCTCCTTTGGCGCTGGATGGCCACTGCTTCCCCCCAACTGCAACGAGATATATAACGTCGGGTGTGTGGGTGTTGCCAAAAAAAAAAAAAAAAAGTGAGAAAAAAAAAAAAAAAAGAGAAAAAAACTGGGGAAAGACCGTCAGTCACGTGACATCAGGAGAAGTTGTGAAAAGAAAATAAAAAGAGAGACAAACAGACAGAAAGAGAAAAAAGAAAAAAAAAGATGCATACGGAGTGACGTGTCACGCCCTTCTCTTCTCCAGCTTGAACTCCAGTGTGTAGCGGCGCCACGTGTCCTTCACAGCGGCAAGTCTTTCGGCAGCGTTGTCGTAGCGACGGCGGGCTGCGCGATTCCCCAGGACAATCAGTCGGGTGGGTGTGCCGATGCAGAAAAGCGGTGCCCGCAGAAGGTGCTGGTGTCCATCCACATACGCGGACTCGGCGGCAGCGCAAAGGGCGTGGGCGAAACAAAATGAACTCTCACGCAGCGCCCGCTCCACACTCATCGTCTCACCAGCGCTGTCCGGGCGTCCACGCTTTCTACTGACTCCACCATGGCCGTCGCCACCGCCGCCATCCCTGTTGTCGTCTATATTGCCGACCTTCTCCCTCACAGTGTGACGGTGTTGTGACGGCGTTGGGGAGTCATGGAGTGCCACCTCCGCGTCATCCAAGTCGTGTGACGGCAGCACAATCACAAAAAGCAGTGACGGATCGTCCTCGCCGTCGTGACAAGCAAGCGCACCTTGCAGCAAACATGTCTGTAGACGCTGCAACACGGCCGTGACAAAGGGTGGGTTCACTTCATAGTGGCCGGCCACGAATGAGAGGTCAAAAAAGGAGCCAAGGCTACCAAAATAGTAATCCGTATCCGGAAAAAGAGAACCGAAATGCGAGAGTTGTGCGTTGATGGGGCTGGCAAACGCCTCACACTGCACATCGAAGGCCTCACACAGCTGTCGCATGACGAGAGGTGGAACGGCGGCATGTGGGCCTTGATTGTAGCCCATTTCCCCAAAAAGAGAGCGGTAGCGCAGAAGCATTGTGAAGGCACGTAAGAAAAACGGCTCAGATGTCATGAAAACATGCAAACCATCGGATACACTTGTCCTCTGCTGCGTCACTGCGTATTGCCATACATCCCGTGCAGACTCCACTCCGCGTCCATTGACGGCAGTCCCTTCCCGTTCCCTTTGGAGACGTGCATCCCACAACAGCGACAACCGCTCGACAGTACGCTGAAGCACTTCAATCGCTCGGCCCCCGTAGCGCAACGTCACACAGTCTTGCGTCATGCGTACCTCCACCAGCCCTGATAAAGTCATGCCTGGTTCGTCACAGCACGAGCGTCGCGCCAGGCACCGCTCGCTCAGTTTCTTTCGAAGCCCGCGCACATAGTGACCCATGCGGACCGTCACATTCTTGGAAAACCCCTTCATTTTATTTGCCGTCACCATCGTCTTCTCGCGTGGGAGACGAATCCCCCGCAACGCGAGTGTGGCCGCAACAAAAAGGCATGTTGACGTTCCGCGGATGTTATTAAACTCGTCTGCTGGAAGAAGCGGATCAAAATACACCGGCCTCGGCGGCTCTAAGATGATGTCTTCACGGTCCACACGCCTAGAATCCATAGTAGATGGCTCCGTCGGCGCAATTTCCACCCAATACTGCCCACCAGCCATGTCCGCCACGTCCACGACGGTGTACAGCGTGGCGTCGTGGACGTGGCGGAGACGGACCGTCTCGCCGCGGTCAAGAAGCGTCACGGTGTCACGGGTTGCCCGCACCCCCGTCGTTTCGTTTAGGCTCTGCATCACCCAGCGCGCGGGAAGCTCTCGGGCAACCTGCGGAGCCATCAGCAACCGGCCACGGCCAGCGGTGTCGTCGATGGCCGTGAATGCCCCGTGCCAACAAAAGGCCTCCTCCAACGCGCGAGAGAGATCGAGAAAGGCGTCGTGACGGTCCAATTCGTCATCTGCGCTTATGCGAGCCGCAAGCACCTCCTCCTCCGCACACGAGATTGTGTCCACACCGCCCTTGCGACGCACACCGCCATCTGTATTCTTCGTGTCATTCCTAGCGTCGGCAGCGTCTTCCGGCGTTTGGCCCGTGACAAGCGACCTACCACGCCGTGGCGTGAGGCCCCGCAAAAGAAATGCGGAGCGGGAGCCAAGGCGAATGTTGTACTGAATGGAGTCACATGACAAAACACAGGCTGCCTTACGACCCGCGCCACTCAGCACCAAGCAGACACGTGCGATATCGGCAATTGACTCGTCAGCCCCGAAGCAATCATCCACCCCCTCCCTTCTCGTCCTCACCTGCATTTGCCCAATGACAATAACGCTGCCAGCACGCCTTAATTTCGTCGGTCTATGTATTTATATGTATGTGTATCCCGCCTGTCGGAGTCACGAACGATGGACGTACGCATACACACACACGCACACCCTTCTTATTCCTCTCTCCCTCTTTCTCTCTCTCTCTCTCTCTCTGTGTGTGTGTGTGTGTGTGCAAACCGAGCATGCATAAAAGCAGATGGAAGGAAACAAACAAACAAAAAACAGGAGTTGGCGTCGCAGTAAAATAAACACGCAGAAAAAAAAAAAAAAAAAAAAAGAATTAAAGTTCGCATTCAAGGCGGAATGGACACGTACCGCAGACTCAAATAATACCAAACACCACAACAAAACAACAAACATATAAATATATTCACAACGAGTACGCTACGAAGAAAAAAGGAGAAAACACATATATATATATATAGAAGAAAAAGAAAAAATATATAAATAAATATAAATAAATATAAATAAATAAATAAATAAATAAAACCATACAGCAAAAAGAAAAAAAAAAAAAGAAAAAAGTGGAACGCACATATATATTTTTTTTACATATTTTTATATAAAAAACAACAACCCCAACAAAGGGGGAAGAGGGGGGGGGAAAAAAAAAAAAAAAAAAAAGACCCGATGAAAAATGTAAAAAAAAAAAAGGAAAAAAAAAAACATAATATTTCGCGTCAACAGTCAAGCAACCAACGAATGGATTTTTTGAAAAAATAATAATAAAATAAAATAAACCATAAAAAAAAAAAAAGAAAAAAAAAAAGAAATTTCAAAGTACAAACACATAAAACCAAAATAAATAAATAAATAAATAAATAATCGCCGTTTTATTCTTCTTCACCGGGTCTCTCTTCTCTCTTCTCTCCCTCTCTCTCTTTATTTGCCATACACACAAGCAACGCAAAAACAAAACCAAAAAATAAAAAAAATAAAAAATCTCAACAGCACACACACACAAAATATATAAATAAGTAAATATATATATATATATATATGTATGTATATATCTCGTCACTTTAAACCTCATATATACAAGAGAAACGACAAGGGTTGGACGCAGACAATAAAAATAAAAATGAAATTCGTTCTGTTTTTCTTATTGTTGTTATTTTAAAGATGCATGCCTACTGGAAGAGTAATAGACGGGGTTCAGAACAAGTTTCACCATTGCTGGAGTTGCTGCAGGACCCATTGTTAAGGCTCTCCGTCCTCCTCCCTACTCCGCGGCCATTGCCCACCGTACCTCTCCTATCACTCTTGGCCATCAGGGCATATGGGGCTGGAGAAGATGGCTTGCTTCGCTCTTTTTCTACTTTTATTTTGGATTCTTGTAATGAATGTTGTACCTTGTGCGACTCGTTAACATTCACCCTCGAATTGGGGTCTTCCGTGACATTCTCTGAATTCTCCGCATCTTTTGCCGCCAACTTCGATAGTCGCATTTGTTTCGCTGCCAACTGGTCTCTCTTTCTGTTATACTTCTTCGCAAAGTTTGCCAGGCACCGCATCGTGTCATTCATAGAAAAAGAACTGGAATTTTCGCAGAAATAAGCCGGCATCAACTCAATTTTCGCATTCAACTCGCTCATCAGCTGCTCGACATGATCCAGCGCTGGAAAGGCGGTGTAGATAAACTTCCCAAGCTTCGTTGTCCATGGCTTGTCATCCGGAATCGCACGCACAAGTGACGCACACTTCTGCAGACGAGCGCGACCGGATTTAAGCTCCCCAGCGACCCCGGATACATCAAAGTTTGATGCGTTTTCCGCCGCCGACAACAGTTCCTCCGTCCAATTGTGCAGGGCCGGGTCCTGCTGGTCGATGATCTCAACCAAATAATCCAAAAGAACCCGGTTGTTGTTTGTTGTCGGAAATTCAATAATTTGCGGTAGTTGCGTCACACGAAATCCTTTCGCCTCCTGAAATCGACTACCCGTGTTTAAAAAATTGCTTACTGCAAGAACAACCTGTAACAAGCGGGGCAATTGCGTGGACTCCATCACAGCAGACACTCCCTCTAGCGTGCGGCAAATTTTCACCTCAAGGTCATCAATACGCCCTTTGAATTCGTTCTTTAAATTCCAACATTGCAAACGCTCGGCGTAATGCCCAATTTTCATCGTCATCATAAAAAAGCGTACAGGTATGCTCAGTTGATGTAGTCGCGCAACGCTCGCCTTTGGATTGCGCCTCATCCATGCTTCAATAGGCCGAAGATCTTCGGCGTGGGGAATAATCTTGACAAGGCCTGAAATGTGCTCCTCACCAAGAGTCAGCTCATCAAATGTACGCACACTTGCCTCAATAGTCTGTATAGGAAGCCGCAGAAATTGAAGCACAATGCCCACATTCCGCTCACGATTGGGATCGATAATAACCTCCTTCATCACCAGCGTTTCCCGTTCCATTGGTTTCTTCTCCACCCGCCTAAACTCATTAGCCAATTCCTTGCGGTACAGCTCGGGAAGTACAATAGATTCTTTGGCTTTGAATACTGACACCTTCGAAATATTTTTTACCACATCGATGGGAATACTACGCGTAGGACCAGTTTGTGCGGGTCTTGATTTCGCCTTGGGCGGTGGCGGCGGCGGTGGCGGTGGAAGCCCAGACTTTGCTCCAGCTCCCGGTGGCGGCGGTGGCGGCGGTGGCGGCGGTGGCGGTGAAAGTCCAGACTTTGCTCCAGCGCCCGGTGGTGGCGGCGGTGGCGGTGGAAGTCCAGACTTTGCTCCAGCGCCCGGTGGTGGCGGCGGTGGCGGTGGAAGTCCAGACTTTGCTCCAGCGCCCGGTGGTGGCGGCGGTGGCGGTGGAAGTCCAGACTTTGCTCCAGCGCCCGGTGGCGGCGGCGGTGGCGGTGGAAGTCCAGACTTTGCTCCAGCGCCCGGTGGTGGCGGCGGTGGCGGTGGAAGTCCAGACTTTGCTCCAGCGCCCGGTGGTGGCGGCGGTGGCGGTGGAAGTCCAGACTTTGCTCCAGCGCCCGGTGGTGGCGGCGGTGGCGGTGGAAGTCCAGACTTTGCTCCAGCGCCCGGCGGCGGTGGCGGTGGCGGTGGAAGTCCAGACTTTGCTCCAGCGCCCGGTGGTGGCGGCGGTGGCGGTGGCGGAAGCCCGGAGCTCGCTGCGATACCTCGCAGGGATGGTGCAGCTGGATAAATGCCATCTATGCCACTTGTTGGCAGTGATGGAGGCATTGTGAGCCCACGAGAGGTCGAGGACCTATTTTCGGACGATCTGCCCTGTTTGGTTGGACTAAATGCAGATTTGATGGCAGCAACGCTCTGTGGCGACAAGGGCTCATCATCTGTCTCATCATCTAAATTGTTCAAGGCATACACGCTACCACCTCTTGGCATCTTGCCCATCCATAAATCTGCTGGTTCCCGCATAATCTCGGGTAATTCCGTTTTCTTAGGCCGTAGTTCCATTGCTGTCTCACCCTTCTCATGTGCATTTTGCTGTTTCAAATGAGAAGGCAATTCGACGTGCGATAACGCCAAATCCGTTGGGCGAAAAACATATGTCGTTTTGCTGAAGGGAGACTTTGCTTCTCGATCGCCTTCATCAGGGCTCCTCGAACGCGCAGTATGAGGGAACAAAGATACGGCATTATCGGGGCAAGCAATGCTGACTACGGAGGGGTAACGTTTCAATTGTCGCCGTTCCCTCTTTCTAAAAAAACTTTTCTTGGGCGATGCAATGAGGGCCTCAAGATTTCTTCGGGTCTCTTTTTGTGCCGGCACCTGCTGAAGATACAGTCGAGCCTGGTTCAAGTCTCCGTCTGTGAGCCTTAATGCATCCTCAATGTCCTTTATTGTGCGTCCTTCAAACTCTGTTTGCAGTGCCTGTGCCTTTGTGATCTCCAGCGATTTCTCCAGAAGGCCAATGTAGTCCTGAACCTTTATCATATCCTGCTCAGACATACTTTCACCGCAGCGCATCAGCCGCTGGGCTGGTGCTCCGTTTGCCATCTCCATCTTCATTGTAAGGACAGACAACGCCCCCTGTGCGTCCCCCTTTGTGGCGTTGAGTGCATGAATGATCTCTCCCTCCCATAAAGGGGAGAGGTCCAGAAGCTTCATGATCCGCCTCACCGCGTGCTTCGAGCCGTACTGCAGCTTTGGCCGATCTCCAACGTCGCTAATGCTTCCACTTCGGGATCGCTCGGCCGAAGGCAGCAGTGGCTCGCCCCGCTGTTCTCGATCCTCCCACTCACTCTGAAGAATGGCCAACACCAGTTCGCGATCACCCTCCGAGGCAACAGCCACCTCCCGTACACGTGCCGGGGGCACGCCAAAGACTTCGCTCAAGCACAGGACCTCCTTTGAGCTTATTACTGTGACCTCCTTCTGGTCGCTGACAACAGCTGCGGCTTCATCGCTGGAGGACTGGGTTCTCGATAATGTCGAGGATAATCCTCCGTGAGTGCCCCCATTCGTGAGGAACAGTTGTGATAATTTTCCTTGAAGATATTGGGATGAACCCATTTGCGAGAAATTCAAACTACAGTGCCTTTGCTTCTGCATCGTGGATGCAATACGCGGCAGCTTCTCCCTCTCAATTCCCTTGTCACCCAACGTCGTCAGGCCATTCTGCTGCTTCTCCTGGGTACCGTTGTTGGCAGCCACGAGACCGCCAGCGGAATCTTCCTCCAGTGGGTTCGGCATCACGTGCTAAAAGCAGGCCAAAATATATTTATTGTTTCCCCCCACCTCGCACACAAACACTAAATGTATATATAAATATATATATATATATATATATGTGTACAGGACCTGGAAAGACAATGATGTGGCACACGAGATAAGAAGAAGAAGGAGAGAAAAAAAGAAAAAAAAAAGAAAAAAAAAACACACGTTGAGAGAGTGGTGCAATGGCTCTGCAAACATTCGCGCCTTCTTCTCCTTTTCCTCCTTCTCCTCGTTTCCTTTTCCTCCAACAGACACGACAAAAAGTGGTTTAGGGTCGGTGTAGGAGCCCCTCGCAATGAACGGAATTCTGCCCGTATTGTTTTGAGGCACCTGCACCGGACGAGTGGCACGACCCCTTCAAGCGCACTGATGTCTTCCCCGCCTGCTCCCTTGACAACACCGCACAACTGTGGGTGCGTTGTGGTTCGTTGCCTTTGTTTTCTCTTTTCCCCCACGTTCCCCCCTCTTCCGCAGCAAAATACTTCTTTTATCATGTTAATCCTCATTATTATCATTCTTTGGTCCCCTCTCTCCCTCTGGCGCGGCACCACCACCGTCGAGCGTACAGTATAAAAAAAAGGAAAAGGAAAGAACAAAAAAAAGGCGCATTCAACAAAACAAAGAAACAAGCGCGTTATTTTCTCCTTTTTCAATGTGACTTCATTCCGCAGTGAAGACAACGTCCACCTCCGCGTCCGCAATGTAGCGCGCTGCGATCACCGCCACCGTCATCTTCAGCGTCTCCAGGTCCTCCCCGTCCACATCATGCAGCGGGAACGACAGGGTGCCGGAAATGCGCCAAAAGGATGATGGTTTTGCGCTGGATGCCTTCAGCGCTGCCCCACTATTCACGCAATCCACGGAATCCTCTTCATTGCCGGTGCCACCCGGCAAATTCTCCGGCGTCACCACACTCAACGCCATCAAGCGCTCCGGCAAATTTGGACGCCCCTCATGTCGCACAACACACGGCATCCACCACGGGCCCAGCGAATCGCCGCAATGCTCCGAAGATGACGATGACGGTGGTAGTGTACATGCGATGTGACCTTCCACGCGCACCAAGAAGGCATGTGCACCGTCCACCTCCTCTACGGTTCCTGTGGCTGAGAGTGAAATCACACGTGGAATTGCCGCGGCCTCGACACGCAGGCGAGACAAAAGGAATTCAGTCTCTTCCACCGCACGGCTCACATTGCCATGCCGCTGCAAGGATGTCAACAACATGTGTGAAAGTTCATTCCATGCACCTTCCGCTGCTGGTGTCTCATGTTGGGCGCACAACTCCTGCAACCGTTCAAGAGACCATGACGCTTTTGCCGTTGTTGTTGTTGTCGTTAGAACCTCGAGCAGAGTCCTTGAGTCCTGTACACACGGAAGTTGCAACAACGGATCTTCAAATCCCCAGGTACGCCGTTCAATCTGTGAAGAGAGACGCATCAAATAACGGGCCTGTTTCCATTGGGTCCTGCCGTCAAATATCACACAAGCACCTCGTACCACATTCAGTACGGATGGCAAAAGGACGTAAAGGTCCTCCCGCAGCCGCTCCGCTACCGTACTTGGGATGTTAAGAAGCAGCTGCGGGTCGATAGCGGCCGTCGATGGCGAAGCAAATGGATGAGTTACAGCCATTCTTCTTTCCTCCTCCTCATGTCCCGCCATATATGAGTCATGCACAAACATCCTGGCACAGTGCGCAAGAATAAGCATTTGGACCTTCGTCCAGCCCCTACTAAAATCCAGGTCCACGTACTGCACATCGTAGCCCTTGGGAAATGCCCGAGCAATGGTCTGCAAGGCCTGCATCTCGGCATCATCCGTGATACGGGCAGCGTCACCCACGTACTCCGGTGTCAACTCTACACAAGATGAGACAATCAACCGCCACACGCCCGCCACGGTAGATACACGAATGCCGGATTTTGCCTCTTCAATGGCCTCAATAGTTCCCACAGTGATGCCATGATTCGACAGCGCAATACCCCGCGTAGTTGGCCGAACCGTTACCGTCTCATCCCCATCACCCTCCGTCACAACCACGCAGCCCGCCTGCTGTAAAGAGGCAATCACGGACCGAGCAAACTCCGAGGCATACGCTGGGATATCCTCTTTAGAGGGCACGCCGTAGAATTGTAGGTTCGTGCGCAAATGGTACAGAAAGTAATGACTTTGCAGGATGCGCAAAACGCCCGGCATGTCACTTGCTCGCCCTTGCGCCACGGCGGCGTTTACGGCGTCACAAAAATCGTTCGGGTACCGCAAGTATGACTCAAGTGGCAGTGGGTCATTCAGTAGTCTGCCCCACACCCAACGCCGTGCGGCGCGGCAATAAACGACTGCCTCATTAAGTGCTCGAGATGTCATTTGTAGAAGTTCGGACACGGAACAGTCACCACCAGATGCGTTGACGAATTTGCTGGCAACGCCAAGTCGCTCCGCAGCGCACACGAATGCCGTCCCAAACAGTGCAGCCGGCAACCTCCATGCCGACTCAAAAGTACAGACAAGCACTAATGGAAGCACCGCCTCTGTCTCCGGGTGCCGTGCTGGTTTCTCTATATGCCCGATGATGATCAACTCATCTAGCAGGCTTGTCCCACGATGCATGTAAGCCACTCCGGCTGAAAGAAGCAGCGCAATATTCTGATCTTCTACATCTTCGCATACCGCTTCAGGAACAAAGTCTCGGCAGCGGAGAACTATGCGTTTTGCAAGCTCCTCGGCTTCTCGCGCGGAGGGAACAAACACAACGTTTGGAGTCGATGCGTAACGCACCTTCTGTAGTTCCTTTAGTGCAGAGACAGTGGCTGCCTCGTACCGACTGCGGGCCCCTCCTTGCTCCAAAGCCTCCAGACGCACATGTAATTGCCGGTAGGAATTACCATAATTGTATTGCCGCGCTGCCGGGATCTTCATCCATCGTGACACCTCGGTGCAGCTTATCAGTGGGTATGAGAGGGCAAGAAGACGCGCAGGCTTCTGCCCATTGTTTACCAAGTAAGGCTTTGAAAGCAAACGTGCCAAGCATTCCTCCATCCAACGACCCTCCGGTGCACGAATAAGATGAACACAGTCAGCAATGATGTGAGTCACGCTCAGAAGGCAATCCACCGCACCTTGACGTAACAACGGCGCCAAACCGCTACCACTTGCGATAATAATAGTGGCCTGATAAACCTTTTCTGCCTTCAGCGTCGTCTCCTCACCAAATGGCTCTAATTTTTCCACCCGCTGCTTCAAACCCTCACCGAATTTGAGCCGCCAGTCTTGAAAACGACGCATGGCGCACGCCTCATGTGCCGTGAGGTACAGAATTTTTCGCTTAGCAGCAGGCACAGCTTTTTCAGCCATAGACGTCTCCTCCGATGCGCCCATGTTCGTCTCTAATAGGGCCCCTTCCAGAAGAAACTGCAAAATAAAGAGCTCAGCAATTGCCGTCTTACCACCGCCGGGTGGCAGCGCTGCAAAGATGTTCTCCGAAGGATACGCCATGATGGGCGTCACGAGGTCGCGCTGCGCCGGGAAGAACTCGGTGAAGGGAAACAACTTATCTGCTGATGCCTCCAAGCCGTACGGTTGAAGCGTCGCGAAGACATCCCGTGCCGTTTCATCCTCCAGGGCAGAGGGACGTTGTTGCATCTCCAACAGCGGCGGGGCGATGTCCGGCAGTCTTACGTTCATCAAACAAACGGCGACAGAGCACTCGGCTCCAAGCCAATACAAGGATTGGCACCTCACGAAGTAGTGAGTTGGCTTCGGCTCAATAATTGGCACCACGATCGTTGGGGCGGAGAGCGTTTCGCCTCCACGCAAAGCCTCCCCAGTCATGTGCAGCTGCTCATGGTGAAGAATGCGGCCGTTGGTGTGTTCAATCGTGAGGAGAAGTTCACCAGCCGTCTGGCTATGTACTTCCTCGTTGTATGTAAAGTCTGGCGTGATGTCGACATCAACGTACAGCA